CTCTTGTAAACACCTACCTGGTTCACAAATGTCCTTCAGGGAAGGAAATCTGTTGTCCCACATGGTCTGACTTCCGTGTAACTCCAGACCCACAGCAATGTCGTTGACCCTTAACTGAGCTCTGAACTGACCCAGCACGTCATTCAGTTGTTTTGTTTGACACTGGTGTTCATTTCATCTTTCCCCTCAGCACTTGTGTTGTATGTGTGTGCAGGACTCAATAAAAACACCATGTGCAAAAATAATTTTATTCAATATTCAAATAATGCAGACAATTGTCAGACATCCAGGTCCTAAAGGACAGAGCTGCTAAACTGGGTCTGCGGCAGATGGTGAGGGAATTAACGAGAGGGAGAAACATACCTGACCTTATCCTTACCAACCTGCCAATCTTACCAATCAACCCTGGTTCAATGGAGATTGCAGGAGGGCATGCCAGGAGCAGCACTAGGCATACCTGAAAATGAGGTGTCAACCTGGTGAAACCACCAAACAGGGCTATTTGCACACCAAACAGCATAAGCAGCAAGTGATAGACTGAGCTAAACAATCCCACAACCAATGGATCAGATCGAAGATCTGCAGTCCTGCCACATCCAGTCGTGAATGGTGGTGGACAATTAAACAACTCACTGGAGGAGGAGGCTCCACAAATATCCCCATCTTCAATGATGGAAGAGCCCAGCATATCGGTGCAAAAGATAAGGCTGAAGCTTTCGCAGCAATCTCCAGCCAGAAGTGCCGAGTGGATGATCCATCTCAGCATCCTCCAGTCGTCCCCAGCGTCACAGATACCAGTCTTCAGCCAATTCGATCCACTCCACATGATGTCAAGAAATGGTTGGAGACACTGGATACTGCAAAGGCTACGGGCCCTGACAACATTCCAGCAATAGTACTGAACACTTGTGTTCCAGAACTTGCCGCTCCCCTAGCAAAGCTGTTCCAGTACAGTTACAACACTGGCATCTACCCGTCAATATGGAAAATTGCCCACGAAACCCTCTACACAAAAGCAGGACAAATCCAACCCAGCCAATTACCGCCCCATCAATCTCCTCTCGATCATCAGTAAAGTGATGGAAGGTATCAGTGACAGTGCTATCAAGCAGCACCTGCTCAGCAATAACCTGCTCAGTGACGCCCAGTTTGGGTTCCACCAGGGCCACTCAGCTCCTGACCTCATTACAGCCTTGGTTCAAACATGGACAAAAGAGCTGAATTCCAGAGGTGAGGTGAGAGTGACAGCCCTTGACATCGAGGCTGCTTTCAACTGAGTGTGGCATCAAGGAGCCCAGGCAAAACTGGAATCAATGGGTATCAGCGGGGGCAAACTCTTTGCTGGTTGGAGTCATACCTGGCACACAGGAACATGGTTGTGGTTGTTGGAGATCAGTCATCTCAGCTCTAGGACATCTCCGCAGGAGTTCCTCAGGGTAGTGTCCTTGGCCAAACCATCTTCAGCTGCTTCATCAATGACCTTCCCTCCATCATAAGGTCAGAATTGGGGATGTTCGCCGATGATTGCACAATGTTCAGCACCATTCACTACTCCTCAGATACTGAAGCAGTCCGTGTTCAAATGCAACATTGGTGTGGACAATATCCAGGCTTGGGCTGAGAAGTGGTCAGTAACATTCATGCCACACAAATGCCAGGCAATGACCATAACAAATAAGAGACAATCTTATTTTAGTGGGGGAGTGTGAGGGGATGGAGTGAGAGATTGAGGGAGCGTGAGGGTGGGAGAGTGTGAGGGGTGGGGGAGTGTGAGGGGGTGGGAGATGTGAGGGTGGGGGAGTG